AACTCCTCTCTGTTTTACTTTCACAGTTCAAGTGGGGGAGGGGTCTCCTACAATCTACTCTTAAGTTCACAACACAATGAGGCCTTTATTATGTTAAGGGAAGTGTCTCTACAATAGTTCTACATTCTATGTTAACACATTTCTAAACTCTAAATCAGCTAAACATTCCTACACTTTATTTTCTGAATGTAAATATTTAAAACATTGTATATGGACGGTGGCAAAGTTTCCTCACAGTATGAAGGTCCTGAGTTCCATCCTTTCTCCCATAGTCCAAAGACAAGCAGTTAGTGGGGTTAGGTTAATTGGTAAATCTAAATTGCCCATTGGTGTGAACGTGAGTTTGAATGGTTGTCTCTGTGTCTATAGAACCTGTTCTAATCCGGTCTTTAAGTCTGACGTCATTAGCCATGTCTGCAGTGTTGCCAACTTAGCGACTTTGTCGCTATATTTAGCGAGTTTTCAGACCCCTTAGTGACTTTTCTTCTAAAAAAAAGTCGCTAAAAAAAGACGTGAAAGTGCGTATCGCTTTTACTCTCAACAAGCAGCAGGTGCTGTAACGCAGTTAGTTCTTCTTTTACTCTTTTACTCTTATGCTGTTTTGTGGACCACAAGGTTTAAAACTACTTATAAACACACACACAAAGTAACTCCACCAGAGTGCCTATTTCGGGTCACTTTTGCCGGTCCAAGCCCGGGTAAAGGAGCAGAGTTGGAATTGTGACATTAAAAAAACAGCAATTGCTAAAAGAAATTTAATTTGTAGTTCTAAATAAACTCTAAATGCATTTAGGACATTTTTTACTCACTTTATGTCTCTTCCACGATGTTATTTCGCTCTCCAACAACATAGGTTACAATCTGATTAGCATGACCAATTATGCAAATTAGGTGATGACGTCATTTAGCGACTTCTAGCGACTTTTAGGACAACCAATAGCGATTTTCCTTACTGAGGAGTTGGCAACACTGCGTGTCTGGGCCCAAACTCCGCTGCAGGTCCATAAGTCAACCAATCACTGTGGAAAACTGAGAGCTAAAAACTGTCTAAATCATGCCTATTCAACCACGAAGTTAGTTGGGCCAGATTTTCAAACCGAGGACTTTATCTGGGCCAGATATTTTTTTTGCAGCCAGTAAGCAGCAGATCATGATCAATTTCAAACCCACACAACTGTACTGAAAAACAAGTATTTTTTTTATTCCTTTTCCCCTGTAAATCTGGTGGTGACCTCTCACAAATGCACACCAAAAGGTCCATTTAAAAAAAAGGGAGCTATAACTAAACTATTTTTTGCACATTTGAAATAATAATATTAATAATAACAAAAAACATTTTGATAATTTCCTTTCAAATTAAAATAAATATTTCGCTGACCACTCACTTTTCCTGTCATGGATGGAGCCCCATCGGTCACAAGTATACAGACACGCTTCATATCCAGACCATTTTCCTCAAAAAGAGCTTAAATCTTCTCAAACATCATTTCGCCAGCTGTGTGTCCCTCTAACGGTAGTAAACCGAGCAATTTCCCATCCAAAAAACGGACATATACGCATAACTGTGCATGATCAGTTCTGTCTGTGATCTCCTGCTATAGACATTACATCAGTTTTCTTCAGGTCATCTAACAGCATTTCAAACTCGTCTGACGCCAGAACTTCAATTCTACGAATATTTGAACTGTCCTACAGGGGTACGTTTTTAATAGCAGATGTCACACTCACTTTTCACCGCATCCACCACGGCCA